CAAATTTTTTTGACAAAGAATAAAGCTACGGACAAAATGATATAACGTTGGGAAAAATAATCATTCAAATGGCTTTTAACACAAAATTTCGTTGATTGCGAGTTTGCTTGAACAAGTATAATATGTAAGAGTCAACGATACATAGTTTCAATCTCTGGAAAAATCCTCTTCCATTCTTTAAACTTTTTTAAGGAACGATAGAAAGTCTAGTTCATGTGAATTGTTCCGAATTATGTGAATTATCGAGTCAGTTGACTAGGGACTGTCTTCAGAAATTTCGTCTTCTGAAATTCACTTTTGCTCTCTTTTACGTCTCGTTGTCATAGCTTTTTTTTCATTGTAATTATCAACAATTATGAAAACGAAAAAACCGAGATGTTAGCTAGATTCAGTATAAGTACAATGTTCTCTGTACAGGAGAACAGTCTAGTGTAAAGGGTCAAGTGTCAATCTTGGCGAGCCCTATCGATATTAGATTTTCAATTGGAGACTGATAAACAGTTGATAAAGTTGGTTAACTTCGAAAAGATCTCGATGCTTCTTACTGAATTTCTCGGCGTTTGAACATGGTGTTTGCGTTGCCTTCGCGTTAAATAAACCTCGGCAGCGCCCGAAATAAAACGCGCGTAGCATTTTCAGCGAGGATTTCGTAAACCGTGTCGTGTTAATCAGAAATAGACCGAACGGAGATCGCGCCTCGGTTTCTGCCACCGGCTCTGAAAAAATTTACCGCGCTTCTGCAACTTTTCCATTCGTAAACTATGTCAGCTACGAATTCCCGGTACGTTAATGAAATAAATTAATCAGAAGTGATTCAGACAGTCGTATACAGATGGCAATGACGTATGTTTCAACACGCAAGTAAGTTTGTTAACGCACAAAGAGCAAGAAATAGTCCAAAAACTCTTTGTTTATAAAACGAATTATTAATTAATATCACTGACGAGAAATGTGAAAGTCTCTCTCTCTCTCTCTCTCTCTCTCTCTCTCGCTGTCTCTTTCTTTTTACTATTTCTTCTTCAACGCCGATTCTTCGTCGATTCGACGATGCTCCCATTTTTGCAACCTCTCCTATTTGAGCACCGCGGTTGCAGTTTATCTTCTTCGAGGATTTATTGACGGATTACAACGGTGAAAAATAGTGGCAATGAAAACAGGCGAATCGATGGCGAACGATATTTTATCGCTTGCTTAACCCGCGACGATGAAAATCATCGTTATCGCGAAACGGACGCTCGATCTCCAGTTCACTTCGCCGCGGGGACGCAGCTCCTTGATCCCATCCATTATTTCAACCACTTTCGCGGAAGTTGCCGAGCAGGAGGCAGTAATATCATAACTCCCCGGTCTGTAACGATAACAAAAACTTTCGACTCTAACGAACCGACGTGACGTCCGTACTCTATACGATCGTTTCGCCACGATCCATCATGAATCGTGTTATTCTCGTTGATATTTTTGGACCGATACGAAGAGGCAGAGCGACGACTCGAAGAGAAACGTATCGCTACCGGAGAATCACGCAGACCCAATAAATATAAATTTCAATTTAACGACGTTGATCTATAAATTTAGGATCGAAATTGACGAAAGGTTCTTTTTGGAATTCTCGAAAATATCTGCTTTTGTGGAATTTTTTTGTAGAAATAAGCGGAACATCTTTGAACAATCTTTCTGATTGAACAGATATTTTCAAATCTGTAATAAAGTTTCATGGAAACAAGTTATTTTAGATTAGCCTAAACAGTTAAAAATCCATTTTTATATTCGAGTACGATTTATTTTTATACTTGCTACAAATATCGAGAACTTACTTAACATTGATGAACGAATCATCTGTCGCCACCGACAGAGAAATTTTCACTTTTATATTCCGAAAGTTTTATTCAGTCCGAAACTTTTATTTTTCTATCTCCATTCTGTTCCCGTAGAAACTTGTAAGAATATTCCCCGATAAAGTTCCACGATCCATGTTTCAAATAGAACCTATTTAAAAATTTTCCCAACTTTCTCGATTTTCCTGCCATAAACTGCCATTCACTGCCAATATTTAAAACGTAACTATAAAGAAAAAAAGAACGCTATGGATCGTCGACAATGGACAGATCGTTCTTTTTGACACAATACGCAACACAGAGGATCTATCGATCTCGACAGAGATTTCTCATCGAAATCAATCACTATCGAATGCTCTGATTTCACGTTAACCACCGTTTCGAGTTTGACACGAGTCGTTAAACGAAACAATGCGAAGAGGCTCGCTACGAAAGATCGAAAAATCCATCCATTGCAATTACCCGGTTTCAAATCGCAAAGTACGAATCTATCAACGTGAAGCGAATCGCAACAACAAACGACTAATCGTACTTCGAATTCAATCACTCGCTACGCAAGCTGCGCGCGCGCGCGGAGTCCGATCTGGAGCGTGACACGATACAGAGGAACGTACGATACCGGACGGAAACAAGCATCGTTCCGAACGAAAACGAATTCCGCGACAAATTGGGAGATTTTCGCTCGGGAGCGATATATCTCCCACGTACGTTCAGCTTCGTGTAACACCCGCGTGACGTAGCGATGATTAAACTGCAGTCGTCGACCACTTTTTTTCGCGTCGAGCGCTTTTCTTTTTTTTTTTTTTTTTTTTTTTTTTTTTTTNTTTTTTTTTTTCCTGATCTCGCGTAATCGGCCGCGGTATCTGGTATCTACGATTTAATGCCGGTTTTCGCGGGCCGTGTCACCGCTAATTATTCTTCGTGTTTGGAGTTTGAGAGTTAATCGCGCGTCACCGCCACTGGAAAATGCGAGCCACAGCGGCGGTTAGAGATATGGAAAACCGCTGGCACACGCGAGTTTTCCACGTGGTCGGCCGTTGAACGTCCGCTCGGTCGCGGCTTTTCGTTTGCGTTTCGGTTCCAGTTAATTCCGTATTATTATCGCCGCGTTCTCTTCTTCTCCGCCGCCGAAACAGCCGAAACGACAATGACAAAATGAAGGAGTAAGCGTCGTTCACTTTTCGCAACGTCTATATCGGCCTGAATGCGACGAAAATTTACGCAACGCCCGCCGTGAATATTGCTTTTCAAACAATATATACAGCGTGCTATATACAGGGTGGGTCGGAATTCTACGTCAAAAAATAAGAAAAAAATTTGGTACAACATTTTTTCATCTGGGTCTCGGTTTTCGAGAAAATCGACTTTAAAGTTTGTTCATGTTTGAGTTTCTACGCAATGGATTGCCTTCGTTGTTAGAGGATGTACTCTTAGCTACTATAAGGAGTATGATTTTCCAACATGACGATGCACCGCCACGTGACACGGGAGAGGTTAAAAATTTTTTAAATCAAACGTATTCGTGTTGGATCGGCCGCGATGGTAAGGTACGTTGGCCACCAAGGTCGCCGGACCTCAAGCCTCTAGATTTTCTTTTACGGGGCCCATATCAAAGAACAAGTTTATAAAGACAATATTTCAAATATTACACATTTGGAGTAAAAGATTAGGAGGGAATTCGAGAAATTAGAAAACGATATCAGCTTACATTCTGTTCAGATATTATTAATTCGTCGAGCAAACTCACGTATGCAGCAACGAGGAGGACATTTTCAACGACACTTGTAACAGTGTACTGTATTGTTGTGTTGCAATAGAAAGTAGTAATAAGGAATAAAAAAGAATTAATTATCAGTAGGAACACTTTGTACTGCTTTAACCACACAAGAAATAACGTTTGTAAAAACTATCTCGAACGGAGACAACGGCGGTGAAAGAATAGACAACTAAATCGTTCACAAAGACGAACAAACTTTAAAGTCGATTTTCTCGAGAACCGAGTCGCAGATAAAAAAATGTTGTGCTAAATTTTTTTCTTATTCTTTTGAGGTAGAATCACCCTCCGCTCGGTTGTATTACGAATCCGGCCCACCCTGTATAATATTTTCGCGCTAACTGGATGTATTTTTTCACGCCGGAGAAAATACACGGTCGCTCGAGATCCAAGGGGATGTGAACCCAGTTGAACGTTATCTCTCGGTCACGATGGGACAACTCGGTGTCAATAGACGTTGCGTGGCGCTTCGTTTCACAGCGCGTAAATCGTTTAAGCCTGAGAGGAAAATTCTGGAGTGTCTCGAGGCCTCACCCTTGACATTGACGACACGTAACGAGCAATCGAGTTATGAAACTCGCTCTTCTGCGACGCTTTTCATTTATTACAGATCGTCAATGAGTGTTTTAATTGTTCGACGATGTCTAATAGTAGAGTCTGCAACTTGGCAAGGAAGTAGATAAGACGCTAATACGTCACGGTGGAAAATTTTACGACGAAACTCCGTGATCGCTGAAATTAACCAGTGATTCAGCCGGAAACTGACGGCGCGGGCGCAGAATCTCGTGTCGTCCGGCTGAACTCCGAACCATTTGGAAACGATCGCCAGCACCGAATTAAAATTACTGTTGTTGCAAACTGAGAAGTCTTTTTTAAGAAGAAATCGCTCGACAAGGAGCTTAACGACGATTTCCCTCGTTATCTCGTCCTTTGGAAACTCTTTTGCGACTTTGTGCTTTATACTTTGCGCGCGCGCGTGTGCGTGTGCGTGTGTGTCGAACGAACGACGAATAAATCCAAGCGACGCACAGGTCGATTCATTAATTATAATTAAGCGCGATGGACCGAGTCGAGATGCGCCGGCATCGATGCAGCGAAACAATTGTGTAGCTGCCAGCGCACCGCTGATATAAATTGAGCGCTTCAATGAAAGCCTCGTGACTCCTCGCCGCGCGAGTTGTTATCTCGGTTTTTCCATCTTTTATTTCGTGGCTTGCCACGATTTCACGCATCGCGTCTTGGAAACACACAGCTCACGCTCGCTTTCGAGAGCTTCCAAAAAAAAAAAAGAAGTCAGTCCGCGAGTAGCAGTAGAACGAAGAAGTGTCATTTCTAGACGGGAACTAGAATTTTCCGCTTTGAATGGCAAACGTACGTTGACGTGTACTCACCATTTTGTAGGAAACCTGCCGATATCGGCGCTGGAGAGTCGTGGAGAAAAGTCTCTTTCGTTTGTTTCTGTCTCCTCGAATATATCCTTGATCCTCTCTTTTGTAATTTCTTTTTTTTTTTTTTTTTACAGACAACTGATATACGACTCGTTGGACACTTTCTCTTTCTCTTTCTCTTTATCGCTTTATCATCTCATTCGCAATAATGGAAGAAAAATACTGCATAAAAAAATATCACTGGTTTACTTTGGCTTGTCCTCCATCTCTCTCTTGGAAAATACTAGAATCGCTGGGAACCTAAGAAGAAAAAAAAAAACCTGCAACCGGGAAATCGGTTACGTTAGTTGAGATCAATCTGAGGGCAATTTGAAAACAAATATAGGGAGAGACGGCGTCTCGTTGCCGCGCGAGATCTTCGGATAGACTTGAACAGAGCTGTTTCAACGGACTTCGGGAATGACGTTGGTAAGTTGGAACAAGAGCTGTCGCTAAATGATGATAAAGTGCCGTTGAACGAGCTCGCCGCGTTAACCGATATTTAGCGGAAGGTCTCTTACCATTTGCTTCGAACGCATTATTGCAAATGAAACACACCATTTCGTATTTCACATTAAGGACAGTCAGGACAGTTTGAAATTTTCAAAAAATCGATTTTTTGTTTTTGTTTTAAACGGTAGTTTAAAGTCTTAGAAATAAGATACAAAAAGGTCCTGGCCTTTAGAACGACTTGTTTTGTGGTATAATGATAAATCCACGGATACGGAATAATTGAATTTGTATTACTGTTTACAACTTCAAGCAGTATTATAAAGTGTAAATCGTGCGATTCAAATATTACTTTTGAATCGGTGAATCGAATATTAGGGGACTTGGATTCAATTTAGTTGTGAATTGTAAGAACTGTGAGCCGCGATATATAAATAAAAAAAGTAAGTAAAGGATACGTATGAAAAATACGACATTCTGAAACTCTAAACGCGTTTTTCTCGAAACTAGGTTTTTAAAAACGGTGTGCAAGATATCTCGGTATCTAACCAACCGATTACTGTGAAACTTGGTACGTATCTTTAATGTAACATTTACTAGAGATTGACGATCGAACATTTTTTAATTTTTAACAATTTCGAAAAATATAAACAAAAAACGTGGAAATTTTTGGCATAAATTCAATACATCGAAAACAAATAGCTGCCATTTTCATAATTCTCACAGAGATGAAAATGTTGGATCGTCGATCCCTAGAGAATATTGTTTACTTTTGAACTTTTTTTGCCTTTTTGTTGCAACTAATCCTGTTTGGCTGGAATCATGCACACCGATAGGCAATGTAAAAAAAAGCTAAAAAGTTAAACAAGAGCCCTCTTCTTTCCTTTTTTTACTATTGCTTCTCATAGCTCATAATGTGTTAAAATAAACTACAAAAGCTCAAAGTGTCAATCAAATATGTACTTTTATTTTACTAGCCCTCCAAAGTACTCGTAATTTTTAGGCCCGTCAAACTGTCCTGTCGCCTTAACGATATCTCGCGCGTGGAGCTTTTCTCATCGCGTCTCTCACTCCTGCTGGATATTCCGAGAATCCAATTAAATTCCAATACGCGAAGCGAGAAACGTGAATGTTTGACGATCTATTTCATTCTGACCTTTATGCGGATGATCACTTTCAGGGTAATCGTACTGTACGTTTTCGCGTTTTAACGTTTTAGGAGACGCGAAAATCTCCGTTTCTCTTCCGTCCGACAGCCATAAATTTTCCATCGCTGCGCCTAGTCGGCGAGGACGAACGCGAACCCGAGTATATACGTAATCGTCTCGTTCGAGAGAGGCGACTTTCACTGGGACAACTCGCGATTGACCAGGCGAGAGACCGAAAAAAATCTATCCCTGTTGCTCGCGCGGCCATTATTAGAAAGTGTTCCCTCGATTGGATGTACCTTGTCTAACGAAGCACGAACTCGCTCCGGCACAGCGGATACGTGAACGAGCACACGCTTGCATCGGCTCTCTATCGATCGCGATCTCCTCCTACATTTGGCGCGTACTACAGAGAACTCATGTTTCCCCTCTGGGTTTTCTGGTCCTTTCCTTCTCTGTTCTCTCCTCCAAAGCTGTGCTCTTTAACGCGTCTCTTTAAACTGCACTCTGCGAGCCTTTTCAAATTCGTTCCTCGTGCGAACGCTCGATAAATCGGACCTGAAACACGATAGAAAGAGAGAGAGAGATTGAATTACTCGACAGGCGAGTTCGATAACCGAGCTACCTGTGTTCTTACTTACCTGCGCGTGAAAATCAGGCATCTCGCGAGGGTTACGTAAAAAGGAAACCGGGTCGTTGTCGCAGCGGCTGATCATAACTAAACGTCTCTGTCGTCCTCTGATATCTATCGTTTATTTTACGTTTTCACCCCGGACGTCTAGGCGGCGATTTTGCAATTTCATCGGCTGTCGAAAGTCGCGACCGGTTGAGAGGGCCGTGTAAACTCTTCCTATCAGCGGCACGCAGAGAACGATCAGCCGTGTTCGCTCCTCGTTTCGACGCATACGCATACACACAGGATATATCCAACTCGTTTCTCCGCACGATTTCAACCTAAAAAAACCTATAAATATTCTCGTATGTTGATCATCTTGTTGTTCGTGTTGCCGATGAACCTCCTCTGCTTCACCATGTGTCCGCCTGCCAGTCTAACCTGTACGAAAACAATCCTTGCGTGAGAAATAGAACGTAGACGAGGTGTTGATTATTAGGTTACGTAGTTGCAAGTTCAACGATGAAATTAATGCGGTGAGTGAATATTAAACTGTTTGAATGATAATATCGAGTCGCCATGAAAGTCTGCGAAAACTAAAGTCTTATGAAAATATAAATAGTAAAATATATTAAAAGATATAAAAAATAAAAACAGCCTCAAACTAAATTGTAAGCCTATGGAACGTGAATTTGAATATTCAATTCTAATTCTTCAAATGGAACATTAATAAATACGAATTGTATATAATGCTTTTCTACGATTTAAACGATATAACACGTTGTAATAAGAAAATCGTGAGGCAAGAGTAGTTGAGTAACTTTGGAGATCTTTTTCATCATCTCACAGTGTGTGTTTTCTACGTTCTACAAATTGAAATATAATTATTCCACAAATATTTCAAGTCCAACAGTGATAAATGATCTTTTGTGTAATTTTAAATATCGTTAAATATTGTATTTTATATTTCATTTCCTCTCTATTCATTCAACGCGGGTGGAATATGCACATTGTCCGTGTTTTCTCTAAAACAACGCTGAATTTATTACACGACCTAATATACAAAGTCATATTTTTTTCCGTAATAACATTATATACGAAGAGAAATCTGCTTCATCAACTACGTGTATTACATTACTCGGAATATTTTGCATACTTTTGCATACTAGATGCATCCTATTTGCACCTTTAACTTTGCGGAAACACATCCACTGGCTGGTAATAATCGTCATCGTCAAATGAACGGACATATCCGCCGCTCGAGTGTCACGCGATCACGCATTCCAGAAATTTATTTTTTTCTATTTTCACGACGACGCGTTGCTTCGTCGTACGTGACCTAACCAACCGTCGTTCCAACATCGTTCTAATTAATTTACGTGCTGCTTATGCGGGCTACGTGGCATCTCTGAATCCGATCATTTAACAGAGCTAAATGAGCGCGCCGGCCGCGTTTTATTAGACTTAATTCGACCGGGTCGTTTTAATTCGATACGACGACTCGGCTGACGCGATACCACCGCGGTTGACTTTCGTGTTTACCAAGTTATGTATATACAGGATAGGCGGGAATTTGTAGTACAACCGAGCAGCGGGTGATTCTTCTACCTCAAAAAAATAAGAAAAAAATTTAGCACATTTTTTTATCTGGGACCCGGTTCTCGAGAAAATCGACTTTAAAGTTTGTTCGTCTTTGTGAACGATTTAGTTGTCTATTCTTTCACCGCCGTTGTCTCCGTTCGAGATAGTTTTTACAAACGTTATTTCTTGTGTGGTTAAAGCAGTACAAAGTGTTCCTATTGATAATTAATTCTTTTTTATTCCTTATTACTACTTTCTATTGCAATACAACGATACAGTACACTGTTACAAGTGTTGTTGAAAATGTCCTCCTCGTTGCTGCATACGTGAGTTTGCTCGACGAATTAATAATATCTGAACAGAATGTAAGCTGATATCGTTTTCTAATTTCTCGAATTCCCTCCTAATCTTTTACTCCAAATGTGTAATATTTGAAATATTGTCTTTATAAACTTGTTCTTTGATATGGGCCCCGTAAAAGAAAATCTAGAGGCTTGAGGTCCGGCGACCTTGGTGGCCAACGTACCTTACCATCGCGGCCGATCCAACACGAATACGTTTGATTTAAAAAATTTTTCACCTCTCCCGTGTCACGTGGCGGTGCACCGTCATGTTGGAAAATCATACTCCTTATAGTAGCTAAGAGTACATCCTCTAACAACGAAGGCAATTCATTGCGTAGAAACTCAAAGAGGAACAAACTTTAAAGTCGATTTTCTCGAAAACCGAAACCCAGATAAAAAAATGTTGTACAAAATTTTTTTCTTATTTTTTAACGTAGAATCACCGCCTGCTCGGTTGTACTTTCCGATCCACCCTGTATATATATATATATATAATATGTATGTATATATGTACGTATTCTCTTCTTATGCGCGGCGGAACAAAAATGGAGAAAAAATTGAAACAATCGGAAAAATCGGCGGTCCAACAAACGAGAGAAGGTTAGCGACGCCGCGTATTTCTAACAATGAACTCGGCGCGGATCGACGAACCGAATGCGATCAACGAGGATGAAAACCGGGACGTTTACGCGCGAATAACGAGCTTTCCCCCGGGATGGAATCGGGAATGTGAATATAGGCCGGATCGATTGATACTTACACTCATCGGGTACGGTCTGTGTTATCGCGCTGGCGGCTCGAAACTTCGTTAAACGGCCTCTAGCCGACGACCGTGGCGGCCATCAACAGCCACGATAATCTCTGTAAACAGAAAAATGCCAATGTCAATATAGTCGCAGTACTCAGAGAAAGAGTTTCGTCGGAGATTGAATCGGAGTTGACGGGGGAAAAACGGGGAAAAAGGGGGAGAAGGTCAAGAATTTGGACTTTAACCACTTTAACTAATTGCCAAACGAGTGACCAAACCGTCGTGTGCAGTAATTCGTCGCTTTCTTTTTGAACTCGTCGGTATGAAAACTGGACAGAAATTATTGAAAAGTAATAAATTAATTCTTTATTACAAACTAGTACCTAATTTATTATTATTTATTATAATATTATATTATTTATTATATTTTATTATATATAATAAATATATAGAATTCAGATATTACTAATTTATTTATACCTATATTTATTACCAAACACCAAAGAGTTAACCCCTTGCGCTGGCAACTGGTTCGCGGACCATAACGAGTGACCGAAACGTATACAATAATTCGCCGCTTTCTTTTTCTTTTGAACTCGTCGGTATGACATCACTGGATGAAAATTATCGAGAAGTAATAAATTTATTGTTTGTTTTGCCTGGGCTGTACTTAAATGTACTTAAAACTGAGAAAATATTGCAATTTTGGGACAATTTTTGGACGCGCGTGGCACACGTCGAGAATATCTGGCCCGAAATTGCAATGTTTTCTCAATTTCAAGTATAAATATTGAAAGTATAAGTATTGAAATATAACCCAGACAAAACGAAATAATAAATTTGTTACTTCTTAGTAATTTCTATCCACTGATGTACCGATGAATTCAAAGAAGAAGGCGAATTATTGTACACGGTTTGGTCACTCGTTATGGTCCGTGAACCAGTTACTAGCGCAAGAGGTTAATTAAATTGTTTCTCAGATAGGGACGATGGAAATGCGTTTATGTCGAATTGGTGGGCTACCGATTAGTTCCTCGTTTAACTTTAAACAAATTTACATGAGGTGGAATTGAAATTGAACAAGTTTCACGGATCTCGATGTTAAAGGAAAAATTTGCAGACTCACACTGGAAATGAGGAAAGCTGAATAATATTATTTGAATATTAGCACACGAACGTATATGTATTTTTATACTTCTTACATAATTCTTTGCTATATTTAATATAAGCGCGCCTTCTATAAATATCTTATAATTAGATTGGAGATTTATTGAACAATTCGATTCTATCTGCAGGATTTCTGACGTAGCTAGCAGGATTATTAAGCACTTTGATCTCGATATTTTCAATCAAGTCTCAATCAGATTAAACATAAAATGCGTAAAGCAATATTGCGTTCCACTTTCGCAAGTGTGACACAATACTGTTTTTTTTTTTTTTTTTACACTTTCATCGTTACATTTGTTATTTCACTTTACTGTCATCGTTTCTCCTTTCCCGACGAATGAAGTAAAAATAAACAAAGAGCGAAGAAAGCAAATAAAATTTAAAAAAAAAAAGATATATATATATATATACATATATATACATATATACGTCTGCTGTACATTTTTGTGACTTTTTATGCACAGATAAGTCTTCAATAGCCACGATACTTTATCAAGACTCGCGTAACAGTGTTAATGAAATTTCCAAATAATCTCAGCGTAATAAACGCGCGCTCACGCAATCGACGAGTGTATTTCCACGAGCTTCGTGCAACGTGTGCGCGTGTGTCGAAAAACTGAAAGCCACCGCGCATCGATCCTTCACCTCCGCGAGCAGCCCGTGTCTTTCGCATTTGCATGTGAATCGCAGGTGAACGCGAATTTTATTCCCGCGAGATCATATTTCTGCCCTGGGATCGCGATACAAGCGATGCAACCGCTGCCCGTTCCTATCAATCATCCGGGATCCCGTTGCTTGCCGCCGTTCGAAACTTGCCGCCGTTCCCGTTGCTGTTAGGCGACAACGACGCGGACACTAGGAGAAAAGAGGGAACGAAGTTTTGCACCGTGCAGTCGGAGAAAATTTCAGTTCTACTCCTAGACGATGGTAGATGGAACACGAAAACGCATCGAGGCGAGAAAGAGTCGGAAGATTTTGTTTGCTGCACCATTGCATTTGCATTGGGGAATATTTACCGGACTCTGCGTCGAAAGATTATTTCAGGATACGTTGGATTTGATCAAACATCTCGTGGCTCTCGTATCGGAGTTTGCCGAGGATTGAATTGATTTTCTTTCCCATTTTATCCACGAAACGCTCCGGCGCACTTGCGAAAATATCTCGGACATAGCGGCAGGTTTCTTGGCTGTCGTTTCGACTCTCGACAGTTTCCGAACGATCCGAACGGTCCAAGTCGAACGAAAAACACTGACACGTTGAACAACGAAAACGCGAGGAAACTATCGCGCAAGATGTTCGAATGTACGCGGCCGGATAGAGCACTAGAAAATCGCCGCGAGTTTTCATTCCTTTTGGCAGGAGAAAAGAGAACTCGTTGCGATCAACCGATAACTTTGACGATATCAGGAAATTAACGGCCGTTAGCTCGGCTCGAAGATAAAAAAAACGAGTAATATTCTCAATAAAAAAGAAAAAAGGAAAGGAAAAAGGTGTACAACGTTTTAAGCTTTCAAATACGCTGAACTTCGACAGGTAAGGCCAAAAGGGGACTGGATTAGCCAACTTGGCCAATTTTCAAGTAAAAATTTCGCCCAAGTCGCTCGGCGCGCTCCAAGTTTCGGCTCTCAGAAAGGATTATCGCGACCAACGAACCGTACAGCTCTCGCCAGACTCTTTCCAGAACAGCCTTCTCCTTTCCACCGTTTCGTAATGAATTTTACCGCTAATTGACCTTCGTGGATCCCGGATCGCGCGAGGGAACGCGAGAGAGCACACGTTTCACCTTTCGGGACGAGATCAACCGAGACGCCGATCCGACAAGACGGAATTATTCCCTCCTAAGAACAGGACAATAAATTCCACGAAAGTTCGAGTTAACGCGAGTACGTCGACCTCTGGGAACGATCGATGGTGCATGTATCTCAGTGCTGTGTGCTCGTTCTTAAAGGTGCGCGCACACCGATCGGAACTTTCGTTGCAACGCGACGATCGATCGCAGAGCCCCGCAGAACTCTGCATTGAATCGTTTCGACCCCGCACAGCCCGACGATGGTTACCAAGAAATTTCCCCTCGCGAACGAGCGTGCAATCGAACGAAATGTTCCGAGCTAAGAATTTAATCGGAGAACCGGCTTTCGAAACTCTCCGATGTTTATTCAAAAGCGTTGTCGATCGTTTCTCGAGTTTCTCGAAGACGCGCCGTTGTGCTCGTGCTTCGTTCGACCGGGCAGAATTTTCAGATCGGAAGCTTCGATGTGTTGTTGCATTGACTTCTCGCTGGTTCTGTAAACCGGAGGGGAAAGAGACCGACGCGTTGAAAACATTTTGGCGAACAAACGAAACTCGAAGTCCTGTATTGTACAATATATTCCGTGAGCATTTACTCTGAACTACCTCGACAATTTATTCCTGCTAAGGAGAACGTTTCGCTTCCTGCAAAAGAGAGAGAGAGAGAGAGAGAACGAAAATACGGAAATTTCGCCAAAGGAGCTCACTGCACCGTAAGAACGATCGAATCGGAAGCGGAAGCAGGTCCCAAGGTTCGAAGAACCGCGGAGGATCGATAAGTCGTGGAAATTTTCGTGCAAGAAACGAGATCGCACGAGAGCACGACTAGGCTCGACGATCATTCCCTTTGCTCGTTTTCTGGTCGCCTGTTCCGTTGCATACGCGCACGCAAATTACAGCTACGGAGCTACCCTTCCCACGCGTACGTATACTAACACGGCGACCATTAGGACCGATCGATCCTAACCTAAAATTGCGCGAGGGCATCGGCAAGAAGGGAGAAGAAAGCTCAATGCTGGAAGTCGTAATTGCGTATAATTCCGGGATGCGTGGTCGTAAACTCGATCGATCGATCGTGTTTATCCACTTGCAGGTCTCCCGCTGGAACGGCCAAAGTGATGCTAAAAATAATAACGATCGATAAAGGACGAGGGATTTCATCAGTGAAAGCTTGTCATAAATCATTTTTTTTCTTCTTCTTCTTCTTCTTCTTCTTCTTCTTTTTGCAAGTGGATATTGTAATGTGAAATTGAAGTGTATTTATAGCCGTGAGAGTATCGAGTGACTTTGACAAACGGAAACCACGCGAGATATTAGAGCTCTGAGTACATACGTGATTGTGAGTCACCAGCCATCGAGCTATCAGTTTATATGGTAGAAACATGTTCCGTTAATATTTTCGTCGAAGTATTTGAACACTCTGTGTAATACAATACGTGCAGAGTTGGGCATATTTTATTCGAACAACGAATAACGAGTAGATCTGTCAAATTTATTCGTAAATAGCGAATAACGGGGAAAAGTTATTCGTTATTTTCGAATCACGATTTATTCGAAATGTGCCCTCGAACAGTGCCCAACTTTGACTACGTGTGTTGTAGAAAAGATTTTAGATTGTACGTGACGCGATCACATTCTAGAGTAAATTCGAAATTCAGCGAAACGAATTTTAGCATCAATTGTACGATAACCATTTTGTGACTTCCATATTGGTTCCAAACTGTATCACTGATGATCACAATAGTCGTGAATTTTCTTCTACTAATTCTTTTACGTGATACGTACACAAAACTGCAACCAATCAACGAGTGGAGTAATTCGATTCGAAGGTTTAATTCCCGGTATGTAGTTGTGCACCTTTCCGGAGAAGGGGCATTCATTGAAACGTCCAGGATATCAAATAACGAGAATAACCCGGACAATCGATATCAACGGTCGCTTCGCGGAACGTTACTAGCGGTTACTGAATCGATACGCGATTCTTGAAGGTAAAAATCACGATTAACTGTTGTTAAACGCATTCGTTTCAGCATGACGTTGCGCGTGCAGCTCGTACGTATTTTTCACGCGACACCTTGCAACGAAATTCTCCGGAATTCGAAACAGAGTTGGATCATATACGACCGTATTCGAATATGTCGTTATTCCCTTTCACGGG